GTGCAAAGCAATTAAATTTTGAGAATGGCTTCATGCAAAATACAACTAAAATATAGGTGTAGCCAAATAACCAAAAAATATACCCATAAAACAACTTTATATCCATATCGACTTGATATTTAACAAGTTCATTTTCATTTCAAATTATTAATAACAAAATTTGATATGGCTTATTATATTGTTTCACATACAGAGAAAGGACAAATTATAATGCTTCAATCAGCACACGTCAAGTTTAATGTTTCATAGATGAGCAAAGACACAAGGGAGCCAAAAGATTTCCATTTTCCTTGTATGTCTCGCGGGCATATATTTGATATAAGACATATGATTAGCCCATGAATAATTTTTCAATAAGAGGCAAAATCATTTTAAAATTATTGGTTTTGGACCAATTGTAATTCAATACTTATTATTTGAAAGTAAATAAAAATCGTCTTACCTCAAAACCACATAAATTTTGTTTGTTTTGTTTTTCTAATAAAGTTTCTTCCAAATTTATTTAGTATAGGGATTCCTAGTGAGAATTTTCTATCCTTGTAGAGATTTCTATGGAGATTTTGTATTTTTTTCTTATTTTATTGTTAATCTAAGCTTATTTTAGATCTAACTATCAGATTTGAAAGTTTTTGGATCTTGAATCTATTTCAACAGATCCCATCATTAATATTGGAGTTTAAAATTACAATATGCACTAAAGGGAACTACAATGATTTATCTATAGGAAGACAATTTTGAAATTTCTTGTATTTTTCAGATGTTGATGATTTTTCAAATTTATTGTATCTATTAAATTACAGATATATAATTTCCAGTACATGTTTAACCTGTCATTAAAACAGTGATATAAATCAAATCATACTGGACGATTTTCAGTGATCTATTCATGAAATTTGCTTTTATAAAAAAAAAATCACATAAATAATTGACAGGTGTCAAGCCTGTACAATAATAATTACCTACTCAAGAAAAATACAAATTTTGTATATAGCGGTGAGCAGGATCGAATCCACAGGGACTGGGGATAATTCATTTCTTCCAAAGTCCAAAGTCAAGGGGTTTTTTGAAGAATATAAAATAACTAATGAAACAACGAATAAAAATAAACAAGAATTAATCAATAACCAATACGACTCTAGTCAAAGGTTCAACTTTTCAGACACGGTTCATTCAACTGATCATCTATGCAAAGATAATTCAATTACTCATTAATAGATTGGTTATAATTGTCATACACGTGATAAACAACCAGCCTTTCCTTACTTTTTCGATAGTCAAGGTACGACCATTAACTATTTCCCTAACCAAGAAATAACCCTAGGTACGACCATAGGATTTAATTTCTCGATTGCAATAAGAATTAGAAAAGCCGAACCCTAAGCAACAAACGCTACGAGTGTTTGTTTAAGTTAGATCATACGTTTCCCTAGCATGAAACCAATCACGTTAGTCGCCACTAGTATTAATCAATTGAACAATTACGGATTCAATCAATTAATCTGGCATTAGATTATTGGGTTAATTCGAATATCGGGCCCTTGGCATTCAAATAACATAACAATCATAAGAAGTTAAATTAGGAAACGTACAAATACCAATGAATAAAAGAAATAAATAAAAATAATTCGATCTCACAGATATTTGGAACTGAGTTCTCAAATTGACCTTCGACTAGAAAACGGAAATTTAGCTACATATCCTCAAGGGAAATCTGCAGGAATCCATCCCTAACCATTGGTTTTTTCCCTCAAGACTAACTAAAGAAGAGACCAACACGCGTCTCATTTTTTCTTGTTCCCTCCAAGGTAGTAATCACGCGGGATTCCCGCCTTTTCTTCCTCTTTGTTCCCTAATTGAAGTCTACTACTTCGGCCGTCCATTGGCCAACCAAAAATAGAATTCTAATTACAAAAGGAAACTTCTCCAACTAATGCTAACTGTTTCCTAATAAGACATCTAATAAAAAGTGGTAGTTTCCTAATTTTTATCTAATACTCCATGTAGACTCCATCTTGAATTGAGAAACTATTGAAAAATCACCTCTTTTATTATTTTTTTGCTCCACCTTCCTACAATTGGCATAAAATACCAAATATAAGTAGAATCAATCAATTAATACAATATTTGGTAATATAAATGAGGGAAACAATTATAAAATTAATGATAAAAATGTAACCTATCAATAACGCAAAAATTTTGTACCATTTCAAGTATATTTTGGCATGGGTTGAGATGCCCACTAATTTGCGACTTCTACACAGTGTAATTTAATGTAGTAGGTCTGAACACTTAACCTTGAAAATCTATTCTATTATCTTTCTATTTTTATACAATTGCTTAGATCACTTAACCTCGAAGATATATTTCTACAATTGCTCATATCATTCTATTTTTCAACTCATTGAGAAACAATTTGGGATAGAACAAAAAGATATGTGTAGCATCTAAAATTTAATTAAGTCAAATTGTGAAAAGGATATGCAATACTAAGATCCAAAAATAGAATTAGTCAAGTACATTAACAAGTCAAATAGAATTAGTCAGGCACATTTGCGTCGGCATTTTTTATTCTTCAAAAGTTTTCTTTTGAATAGATATTCATACAAAAAGAAAAATTTTAAAATACTAAACATAGAAAACATTGAAACTAAATAGAATAAAAATATTTGACTCATGCTCAAGCTAATAATTAGTTTTCAATAAATAATAATTTGTGATTCAATTTTGACTATTCAAATTGATGATGGTAAAGTATCATATGCAAGAAATAGATATTCACTATATAGTTTTTTCAATTTTGTAAATTTGAGAATGGACATTATAAATTTTTGAAAAGGATAAATTATTAAAAAGATAGAAAAAGAAAAAATTCATTTATAAAAGAAAAACAAAGAATAAGAAATTGAAATAAGAAAGCTAATTTTAGAGGCAATCTTTTAAGTTGTTTAAGGTATAAAAAATTTTAAACAATAAATTAATAGAGAAATCAAATCTTAAATGGACATGGCTTTGACCTATAATAAGTTGCAAAGAAAATAGATTAAAAAAAAACATGATAATTACTAAAGAAATTTTTATCAAATTATTAATTAGACAACATAAATAGGTTAGTATGAGTATTATCATAAAATTATAGGATAAAACAATAAGAAGTAAAAATATTCAAAAGTTTAGAAATAATAATAAATAACCAAATCAAATAATAGGAGTAGAAAAATGGAAAGTTATGAACAATTGTAAAATTTCTAATCTATGTATAAAATGGAAATATGTGATATCGAAGACAAACAAAAAAGAAACACTATGGATTGATTGGTCAAAAATAAAAATATGTATCATTAATTCAAACCTATATAAAATAGGGAACTAATGCCTTTATAGAAACTTACTAAATTAAGGAATGTTACCATGTAGTCAGGGGTTCAAATCTTTGTATAGTAAAAACTTTTAAAAATGTGCAATAGTGCACTTTTGTGGCCTAGAGAGCTGGATTTCTTTTCCTTTGATCCCCTTAGCCAAAATGGATCCTTTCGTAGTATAGTTAGAATGGGAGTAATGTAGATAAATTACCACTAATACAAATAATAATAATAATAATAATAGTAATAATAATGATACTTGATTGTTGCCAGAAAAGAAAAAAAACAAAAAACATAGCACCTATCCAATGCAGCAATGTATCATATAAGATCCGAATAGCAATAAATAATAGAAAGATCCTCTTATAAGGTAATAAGTTAAAGAGATGGTGTGAAAAATAAAAGCAATAATTCTACTATTGGAACCTGTATAGTTTCAAAAATAGGAGTTACAATATTCTAAATTAAGTCTATACATAGCACAATTGCCTATATACAATGTATACAACGTATAACCATCAAATTGGTATAAATTGGTAAAGTGGGAGGATTAGGAATTGTAAGTAGGAGGTCCTCCTGTGTTCAAAACCTCCCACTTACAAAACAAAAAAAAGAAAAGAAAAAAAATCAACATTACAATAGTTTTGGAAGTAATAAATTAATTGAGAAAAATTCTAATTGAAAAACTCATTAAATCATTTAGGGATTTTTGTATTTTGTCATTAATGAGTTTTTCAATCACAACCTTTGTCATTAATGAGTCTCATTAAATCCCTCTAGTTGGGAGGTTTTGAAAAACTCATTAAATGAGACAAAAAACTTTTGTCATTAAATCCCTAAATGAATTAATGAGTCTCATTAAAAAGTTGTAACTGAATTAAAACTCTAGTTGTTTTTTGCCATAAAGTCCTTCAGTTTTTCAAATACTATAAAAATTTTTAAAATGTATTCTAAAAGGTACTCTAAAAAGTAGTCTAAATTTTTTTATGTTTAAAAAATATTCCAAAATATATTTTAAAAACTCTACTACTTTTAAATATTCCAAAATATTTTCTAAAAATATTCTAAAATATACTCTAAAAACTCTGCTACAGTAAATTTTTAAAAAATACCGCCAAAAATAGCTAATCCAAACGGAGCCACCAAAAAGTTGTATTTAGGCATTTGACGAATAATTTGAAATTCCCCGAAATCGCTCTAGTTATTTGGTTTATTTAAGAGGTTTTGAATTTATAATTCACCAATTATTAAAACACATTTTAAACACTATAATAATTTGTGATGTATAAATTCAAGTACTTCCTAAATAATCTAAACAATTAGAGATATTTGAGAGAATTTCAAATTCCTTCATCAAATCTCTCGATACAAACGAAGCAACAGAATTTGTTATGAGGACAAGTGTTGTTGGCGTCAACACTGTGGATTAGGAAAGTGAGATAGAAAATCCCACATCCATTTCACAAGACCGTGTGGATATATTTCACAACCAGATGCATTTCCACCGTCATCCGTTCACCAAATATATATATATATATATATATATATATATATATATCCGCGTATGCATATACCCCTTGCAGAAGGGACTAGACAACAGATTCATCAACTTTTGTCTGTGTAGGATTGAAACACAGGAATATGGAGGCCTTTTCTCTGTATTTCCTCACCATTGTAGTCGTCTTGGTTTCCTTCATTTTTCTTGGCTTTCTAAGTCAACGTTTCAAATCTAAGACATCCATACTTCCAACAGGCACATTTGGATTGCCAGTTGTTGGAGAGACACTTCACTTTTTCTCGAGTGGCCCAGAAAAATTTATTCATCAGAGGATGGAAAAATACTCGGCAGAAGTATTTGCGACCTCATTGTTTGGGAAGAAAGTGGCTGTAGTTTGTGGTGCAGCTGGGAACAAGTTTTTACTTTACACTGCAAACGACCAGCTTGCTCCTTGGCTTCCTTCTGCAGCGTCCAAGTTAATGGATTTGGTAGATTCTCCTGGACAATCTGTCAGGCAAGTAATTTCAAAATGTCGAACTTTTCTTCATAATGAAATCCTGAATCCGAAAACTTTGAGACAGTACATAACCATAATGGATGCCCTGGCAAGGGAACATATCAAGACAGAATGGGATCCTTCCAAAGTGATACAGGTTTATCCTCTTTGCCAGAAGTATGCACTTTCGTTGTCATGCAGATTGCTCCTTGGCCTTGAAGATGCTTGCCAGATTCAAAGAATATCTGATTCTTTCTGGATCATAATGCAAGGGTTGTTTTCAATGCCCATCAATATGCCTGGCACCAGATATAATCATGCTTTGAAAGAGGTCAAAAGGGTTAAGCATCAATTCTTGAACATCATCGCCAAGAAGAGAGACATGGTTTTTCAGGATACAGGAAGTGCTGGTTCCGACGTATTGTCTCGCATTCTGCTCGAGGGAAACGCCTATTCCATGTCCGATTCAGAGATTGGTGCCTATCTTTTAACTTTAATGCTTCCCAGCTATGAAGGAATAAGTGCAACAATCACATTTGCCTTAAACCATCTGGCTGAGCTTCCCCATATTTATGAGGCGGTTTACAAAGGTACGTTTTAAAAATCTCATCCATTTCATTTGCGGTTATATCCAACGAGAAGCAGTTAGAAAATCAACCAGTGGGCTTTGATCCATTGGCCATGGGAGACTCTTAGAGCTATTCCGTGCATCAGGTCAAGATTTTGATACCAATTGGGTGTATATTCAAATGGGGACTTGAATGACAAACTTCTAACATTTTCAACTTAATCTATGAAACAAATTAAATTTAAGAGACTTGCGATGCAAATAAGATTTAAGTTTTCTTATTACAACATCCATGGAAACTAGATAGGCCATTCTCCTAGTTGTTGAACTAAGATTTCTCCTCCTTTCATATCTTCATCAACGTGTGGGGTTAATTCTTGATAGAAAGCTAATATTCATCTAATTTGAGCAAATCCACCTAAGTAGTTCATCTAATTTAAGCAAATCTATCTAATTAATTTCTTACATAGAAATTCATGTAGATTACAGTCATAAACTGAACATGAACTCCTCATTATTTAAAAAGAAGCTAAATGATGCTGTAGTATACAATCCAGAGGTGGATTTCCTTTCCCTCTAGGCTTATACAGCCCTAGCAGGGATTTCCATGGTATAGAAGTAAAACATTATTCTTGCCTAAAAACCAGAAGACAGTAATGCACCTCGACTAATCAAATAACAGTGATTTGATTAGCTTGCTTCTGCTGCCATAACAGCCTAACAATACAGAAAGAGAATAATTAAAGTACTTGCATTGGAACTTCCTAACAAATATATGTTGCATGAAAAGAAATTAAAAAAATCATTAAGTATATGGTAAAAGATAGCTGCCACTAAACTATTTATCGAATCAAATTTTGACCATTAAACAAATTTTGCCACTAAACTATTGATCGAATCAAATTTTGACCATTAAACAAATTTTCGTCACAAATTGATCACTAAACTAACTAATCAATATACGTGTGACTATTGTGTCGATTAATACTCTTAATCTATGAAATAAGTAGAACACATGGCAAAGTGCAGGGATAGTTTTGTCCACCACTTAATGATTAAGAGCAAACCTATGCCACATGTTTGCTTATTTCATAAATTAAGAACATTAATTGACGCAATGGTCACGGGTGGACTGATTAGTTAGTTTAGTGACCAACTTATAATGGTTTAATAACTAAAACTTAACCCGGCCAATAGTTTAATGGCTGCCGAGGTTTTTTGCCAATTATCAACTATGCTGGACCTGAAATCCTATCATTGAATTAGCACAAAGTTATCCTCTCTTGTATAGTCCTTCGGAAACCTTAAACTTCTGCTTGTATAATGAATCATCCTATTTGTCAAATGAACTGTAGTAAATTGCATGTTTACATAAAACTCCACTTTTGATGCCCACTTTTGAAGTTTTATGCCCACTTTTGATGCCAGCAAACTCGTACAACATCTGAATTCAACCAATGAACTCAGATGACAAAATTTTGTAGCAAACTGCTAAGTGAATTTGTATAAAAATTGATTTATTCAATAATAAGATGAAATATTCTCCTTAGTCCAATAATCATGTTTTGCTTCGTCAGTTTATCCCATGGTTCTGGATTTGGTGCCAATATTTGAGCTTGCATATTCTGTTGATTATAATTTCTAAAAGCAATCCCAAGAAATTTCACTTATTTCTTGTTCAATAAATTTCTCAAAGCTATTATATAATTTTTCATACCACATTCGATCTTATTTCACAATGAGAACTCAAAATTGGTTATTACAAAACAGTCCCAACTCCCAAGGATATTAGGACAGCCATTTAATACTATGTAGGCAACCCTTTTCTTGTGAATAGTTCTTTACACCAAAAGAATGACCAATCTATATATGAATCATTACATGACTGTTAATTATACTGTACAAAGTCCAATAACAATGCCCAATTTCTCTATAAAAAACCGTGGCTTAACCCTGCAAAAAAAAAAAGAAAAAAGAAAAAATGTTGCTTAATCCTAGACTTAAGGCATATAATTTCCTAATTTTTTTGTCTAAAATTTTCCATTAGCCATTCTTATAGAATTTTACTCCAACAAAGGAAATTAATCAATTTCCATAAACCATCAACATAGAATATTGCTAGACTAAGTAAAAGAACTCTCGGAATTAGAAACTAATAAGCCCTGTGAGAGTATACTTGACACTTAAAACAAGGCCAATGTTTAATTAACTAATAATTATAGAACTTCCAGCAAATTTTTAAAAGTAACAGGCTTTTGGTGCAACTAGACTAGTCATCCGTAACTAGACTGTAATGTTGAAAATTTCCAATTTAATTCCTAATACGAAAGCTCAAAGTAGGTTATGTTCACCTTTTTTTTTTTTTAAAGAGTATTTTACATATATAGCCCCCATAATGTACCGAAACATACCATGGTCATTAAAATTGATAGTAAGGGTAGTTTCGAGAAGAAAATTAAATGCACTAGTTTTTATGTATATATATGTGTATGTGTCTATATAGTATATCATTTGAAATAATTGACATATCACTTATCCATTATTGGAGAAGAAAAGGTCGTCGACTTCTTTAATTTAAGCTTGCAATTGTATCAATGTCTACTCAACTTATATACGCAACTCAATACCTTAACTAATAATTTTCATTTGTTTGTGGCATTTTTACTTCCTACTAGGATATTGATATTTTTTGCAAGGGAGAAAAGAATTGCATTCATACATAATTACAAAGAAAGTGAAATACCTATAACATGTCCTGGGACTTAGCTTAAGTTGTAGAAACAATAGTTAGATGATCATGAGACTTGTAATTCGACTCTCAAATTCTCCCACTTTCGCTGTCTTCCTTATAACGTTTAGAGTTTCGCCTTGAAAAAAATATGGTAACTGGCATGGTATTAATCATTTAATGCGCAGAACTTATGGAGATTGCCCGGTCAAAAGCTCCTGAAGAACTATTAAATTGGGAAGACGTCAAGAAAATGAAGTATTCTTGGAATGTGATATGTGAATCGATGAGGTTAACACCACCTAGCATGGGAACCTTTCGAGAGGCCCTGATTGATATCAATTTCGCTGGTATAACTATTCCAAGAGGATGGAAGGTATGCACTTTTTCTGCTTACTCTACACGACAAATTACAGAAGAAAAACAAGAAACAGAATTTGACGAGTGCTGCTACTTTTGATCATTCATGAGAGCTTGCGCTTTCAGATGCACTGGAGTCCATTTACAACCAACAAAAATCACAAGTACTTTCCTGATCCAGAGGCTTTTGATCCCACAAGATATGAGGGTGATGGACCGACATCCTGCACATTTCTACCATTTTCTGCAGGACCTCGTATGTGCCCGGGCAAGGACTATTCCATGTTCCTGATACTCGTATACGTATATAACGTGGTGACGAGATTTAAGTTACAAAAACTGATTCAAGATGAGAAGATGCGATACCGTGTTGGTCCTGTTCCTGCCAATGGCCTCCCAATGCGCCTGCAAACACATTGAGATAATATGCAGTTTCCCTTTAAGTTCAAGAATCGTTATCTTGTAATTTTGAATGTATCTTATCTTTCAACAGTTATGGAGAAATGGGATTGGCAGTATGAAAGTATATCCATCTTTGTAAAATTGAACTCAGTGAGGTCATAGATAGGATTCTGAGTTGAAGGCAGTACCATTTGTATTGTACCTTTTTTTGGTTCTATGGATGGCCTAAGGCCCTAACTGTTGCAAACAACAAATCTTGGGGTGGTCACCCCTCTACAATCAGCTCCGAGTAGCTGGCGTAGCTCATCTGGTAGGTTCCGTAGTCTCTGGAAGCCGATGCTCTTCTTTGCTAGATATTTTGCATTCCCATTCTCTGCAAAGAAACTGATTGACCTGGGCAATGAGATTATGGTGGGGGCTGTTCTGTACATTGCCTTGAATAAGGGAGATGCTGGTCATTGAATCCGATTCTAAGATCACTCTTGGATATCCTAAAGCCCATGCCAGGTTCAGGCCATCGACCATTGCCATAATTCTGCAGCTACATTGCTTGCAATTCCTAGTTTAGCACAGAAACCACCATGCCATCTTCCTAGAGCATCCCGTAGAAGACCTCCAGCACCTGCAAGACCGGGTTGTTGGTTGAGTTTCCGTCAACATTCACTTTAATCCATTCCTCCGGTGGCTTGATCCAACTGATAAACAAAAGTTCCTTTTGTTGCGGATTGCTTTTGATGGACAAAGCTGCATGCGCTTGTTCAGCCTGTGCTGTCAGTTTTGTAGTCCTGACATGAAGCTTCTTGTCGTCTCCTTTGATGCAGAACTCATTTCTCCCATCCAAGCAAAATAAACTGATGGCCTGAAGCTTTCCAACTACAAGTTGTATTGCACTTTCAGTATTAAGTTCAGTATGTAACCCAATTTATGTAGTCAGTTCTCTAATTTGTTTGGAATAAACAATTAGAGGAAAATAATTTTTATGGATCCCTAATTTATTACTTGACATTGAAAAACAAATTCAGGATCACACTGGCCTCTGTTGAATGGATACTTATGTAGCTTTTTTAAGTTTGCAATACGCAAGGTATAACAACTACTGCTCTTATCTATTTGCAGCAATTACAATCAATACCAAATGATTAGGTAAACAAAACAGAATACTCTATGCTTACAAATGTACACCAATCAAAATTTCAGGCTATGGTTATAGACCAGTTAAGCTTTGTTGGTTTAATCTTTCTTCAAGAAGCTACAGCTGCTCCAACTTCATTGATGATGGACTGCAGGATGACAGAAGCAGGTTGAAATTTTCCTATTCCTTTCTCCTCAAATGTTATGGACAGAAGTGGCAAGAGACAATCTAGCTACTTGATCAACAAAGTTGATCTGCACATAATGAACACTAATTAACCCAGAAAGCCCAATATTCCAAGAATAGGCTCCTCTATATGCCACACTCAATTCTGCACTTCTCTCCAAACATTTGCAGCATAGTGGTGTGCAAAATACAGATGATTAATAGTTTTTGCCACCCGTTTAGACAGATATTGCAGCAGCACAAAAGAAACCTGAGAACCGATCATTAGCTCGTACTAGATTAGGGTTTAGACAACACAACTTCCAACCCTTTGCATTGCAGCTCACTAAAGACTTGCTTCTCAATAAAGGAACCAGAAGTACACCATAGCAACTCTGGGGAGTAAGAAATATGGAGTCACTTCAATAAGCAACCTTACTCAGAAGCCCTTTTCCAGTTTTCCTCCCAACAGGCCAAGCCAACTTGCCATCAACAAGCAATAGGTGATACTTATACCAGTTGAAGAACTCCCAAAGCTACAACAGTCTGAGGTGAAACCACTTCCAGCAAATAGCCTATAGGATGCGAGGAGTCATACCACAGGAAATTATTTTTTCGATTTTCCACAATGTATTTAATAAAGGGCAAATTACATTTTAGCCCCCTGTGGTTTTCGAAAAAATCACATAACCCCCCCATCGTTCAAAAAGCTATACATAAACCCCCTGTGGTTTGGGTTGAACTGGCAAATAGACGGAAAGCATCCACCGTAACGATTCGTGGGCAAAACGCGCCTGTTCTTCTGGTAGCAGTAGGAAACATACCCATATTACCCCTGACCAATTTGACGTACCCAATAAAGCCTAGATGGGTGCTCCTCATCTCTTTCCATCTTCCGAAATACTTTGTAGCTGACTTTGCACTGAATGTTGGTGAAGGAACCCAAGATAGAGAACGAAGGAAATCTGAATGTGAGTTCTAACATCAAGGTGCAGTCTTTTCCTTTTCCTGAAATATGACTTGAATGGATTATTAATTTTTTTTCAATAAACTATAGATGTCATGCTCAAGCAGTGCTGGTGGAAGTACTGAAGATCTAAGGTACCAATACCTATTTTGTTCATGTGGGAGAAAAGCAGCGGTAAAAATTGTTGAATCTGACAAACCTTCAAAAGGAAAGCTATATTTTGTTTGTGCGACAAGAAGTTGTGAATTTTTCTCATGGTGCAATCCAACAAGGAGAATAAGACAAAATTACACTAGTGATTTGAATGTTACAAGGAGAGACATATTTAGTGGAGAATCAAGTATTGATAGTTCAGAAGTGGAAGGCTTGCGCATGGATGGTGGTTTATATTTGAGGAAAATGAAAAACATTGAAGAAAGCTTAGGAGCCATGAAGATTTGCGTGGGTGCTTGTTTTGCTATATCTGTGCTATCATTTCTCATTTTGATGTTTAAGTGAAAATAATTCAGATGAATTGTGGCTCTAAAAGTGTTGTAAATCTGAACCTGTTGTGTTCAATGAATGAATGAATGAATCTGCTTTGGTAGTCAATTGATATAATAGGCAAACATGATTTCCAGTTGGTATGAACCTGCTTTGGTACTCACAGGCTGAACTTGGTACTCATCGAGACAGCATAGCCAAAAAGCACATACATGAGCTATCCAAAGTGGACATTTGCAATGGTTTAAAGCAAAAGAAAGTATCTCAATTAATTTAAGGGATAATTTCAGAAACCTCCCCTGAGAGTTGGACGGGTAACTAGTGTGTCAGAGAGTTGCCATAATCTCCTTAAACCCGCATGCGGGTTTAAAGAGTATTCGATATTCTCATATGCACCTATGCAAATCGAACCAACCGGATATCTTATCCGTATCCCATTTTTTTAAATAAAAATCTTATAAATTTGAAAAATAAAATCAAATTTAGATGTATTAGGGTTTTAAAAATATTATATAAGTGATAAAAATTTTATAAATTGTAAAAATAAAATCAAATTTAAATAATTAAATGTTATATTTGCCTAAGAAATAATACAATAATCATAATAATGATAATACAATAATATTGGTGTAATAAAACTGCCATTAATTTAAATATTTACTTATAATGCCCAAAGAGCCTAATTACCAATTTTTTCTTCTCGCGCTCAAATATAACATTAACCCGCATGCGAGCTAACCTTGAAATAGAAAAAACACAGAATCCCGCTTGCGGGTTTCAGTGTTATTATGCAGGCGGGATTTTAACCTGCTTGCTTGTAAACATGTACCACATTGCTCTGAAATTATCCCTTAATTTAACTACCATTATAGCTATGCGGCAAGAGTTCAAGTATAGACAAATAAGGAGCAGTAAAGGTTCAGACTAAGTTCTAAAGCAAAAAAGCACACATCAAAAGCCAATTTCCAAGATGCCTCAAGCATGGAACCAAATTCTGAAGCATTGAGCCAAGCATTGAACAAAACAAAATAAGGTACATAAGTAGCTAATCATTAAGTCCAGCAGACACCAAGATTCAACAAAAAGTGTAGCAACAACATATTAACAGTAGACACCAAGATTCAACAGAAAGTGTAGCAACAACATATTAAAAAAAAGCATTTGCAGACAAATAACTTAATTGAATTACAAACACGTTTAGCCCTCTTAGTCCTCACATTCTAGAAACACGTTTAGCTTTCTTAGCCCTCAAATTTTCCAACACACTTGCAACTGTTGGTACAAGTTTTCTGACTCTAGTTGATCTTCTAGTATCCAAAATGGGTTCAACAGCAGAAGCAGTTCTTGTAGTATCCAAAACAGGTTCAACAGGTTCATCAGTTGGTCTTCTAGTGTCCAAAACAGGTTCAACAGGTTCATCAGTTGGTCTTCTAGTTTCAAAAACTGGTTTAGCAGCAGAAGTTTCACAAGGCTGCATAAATAGATAGGTTTAAGTCAGTTAAATGCAGTAATTGCAGTAATAACCATCATCATTAATAGTACCTGTGACACTGAACCCTGTTGTGAGACAGATCCAATACTTGTATTTCCAGCATTTACAACATCTTCACCTGCATTTCCAGCGTCACTAGCTCCAGCAGGCACCTATTTTAATGGTAACACATAAGGTAACAAATTAAGTACATATGACACTGATTACAAATTAACTACTACAATTGCACTGACTAATCCTTTTTGCCTATCAGATATGAATGTCCATGGAGCTCCATTTTCAGCACCAACTTCAATTTTCAACTCCATCAAAAACCATTTCCATGAGTCATATCTCTCGGCTTCCACTACAGCCATTGCAATGGGAAACATGTTATCATTGCCATCCCTACCCATAGCTGTCAAAAGTTGTCCACCAAATGGACTTTTTAAAAAGCAGTCATCTAATCCAATTATTCGTCGACAACCAGCTAGAAACCCATTCTTCATTGCACTTAAACTCCAGTACATTCTTTCAAATATCCCAACCTCGTTCTCATCCAGTCTAGTCACTTGCAGGACAATATGGCTACCAGGATTCCGGATCAACAAGGTAGCAGCATAATCTCTGATGACATTATACTGTCTTATATCATCCCCTTGTAGTGCCTCTCTTGCCAATCTTTTAGCTCTATAAGCCTGTCTCATGCTTATGTCCACCATAATCTCTCTCCTCACAGTCTTGACAAATCCTTCAATAGAAGAACTTGGTTCATCTCTGAACCTGTCTAAATATTTTTTGCTCAAATATCTTGCATTTGCATGATGATTGCTGTATTCTCTTCCACACACATGCACTCCCTTTATTGATTTGATCTGAAAGGT